ACCCACCCACCACCACCACACCACCACCCACCACACACACACACCACCCACCACACACACACACACACACACACACAACACCACGATGCAGCAAGCAGAATGGAACGCACGTGCGAGTGTCTTGAGTGCTGGACCGGAGAGAAATGCGGTGGAGCGCACACCGCCCTCATATGCGTTGTGCTTTCCGCCACGAAGGGGGTAGTTGGACGAGCCAATGGAGTCCTCTTGCTTGCCCTGGCAGTCGCAATACAAAGAAAAAAAAAAACAGGTTGACGTTGGGTTCGTGGTGGTCAAGGCGGTGATGGTGGTGGTGAGAAATCTGACACAAACACTTTCATAAAGTCATCACGATGGCACACACACACACACACACACACACACACACACACACACACACACACACACACACACACACACACACACACAAGCACACACATTCACACACACGCCAACGATGAATGGTAAGTGTACTACATACAAACAAGCACTACTGCCTCCTTGGAGAGAGAGAGAGAGTGTGTGTGTGTGTGTGTGTGACCGGGGCCCGCCACCTTGTTTGGTCCGGACTGGACGGTGATGGGCCCGCCGTTGTCCGCCGTGTACACGACTGCCATTTGCACGAGCCGAAGCGAGTGGTGAAGCGGTGGTGGTGATGGAGCCGTCGCAAATGCGGTGGTGGTGATGCAACAATGGACGCGATTGAGAATAGACCACATGTAGTGAGCAGAAGTGGGAGAGGGAGGACACACCGTATTGTGTCATTGTAACACAAGACACAACCGAGCAAGCAGGCAAATAACCAAACAACAAAGCAACCAACAAAACAAACAACAAAGCAACGCATTCGGCCAACTCACTGAGGAGATTGTCATACATGCCGTTGCGCTTGTACGCCTCAGTGATGTTTGCGAGGGCGGAGTCCACGGTGGTGAGCTTGGCTGCAAGCTTGCGCCGCACCTGATCGGGGACGGTCGTGTTGTACCTGTCCTTGTAGCACTGTGGGACCTCGCCAGGATTGTGGGTGTCCTGTGCAATGCAGGTTGCATGGGTTGGGGATGGTGTGGAGGAGTGGTGGAGCATTTCATGAGGGCGGGCGCGGTTGGTCATACGAGGTGTGACGATGAGGACGAACACACGTCATATCTCCCATGCCAAAACGGTTAAAGCACACACACACACATAGACAGACACACACATGCACATCCATACACACACATGCACATCCATACACACACACACACACACACACACTCACATACACACAACTTGCAACGGACCTGGGATGCAAAGTACAGGAAGAGCGGTTGGGAGGGGTCGTGGCCATCGACAATGTCGACAATGCGACCGGCAAAGAGGGTGGTGCTGTAGTGTTGCCAGTCCGTGCCAACAGCCTCAAACGCAGCCTGCAGGGGAGGAGGAAGGGCACCATGTCTTGCGTGAACCACAGCACGGCTGCATAAGCAGATTGCACACAGCTGCAAAGACGATCCTTGCACACGACAGAGCATACACTCACACACACACAGACACAGACACACAGACACACAGACACACACAGACACACACACACAGACACACACACACACACAGACACACACACACACACACACAGGGCACGGCGTGCAAGAGTGCAATGTTACAACAGCTAATGTCACACCTTTGAGCAGTCTGCGCCGCAGGATGGGCGGGCGTCGTCATGGAAGTCAAGAGACTTCACGTGTGCGCCTGTACCGACGCAAGGGCCGTGGGTGCAGACAACGTGCGTCAATCCAAAGCACAATGACATACGGCAACACACGACAATGAAATCTGCAGCCTCATTCGCCCACAGGTCACCACAGCCACAACACAACACAACACAACACTACACAACACACCTCCGCCCACCTGAGCTGTTCTTGAAGCCGAGGCCGTGGAAGAAGTAGTCTTCGGCACAAGAGTAAAATCCGTAGAAGGAATCGAATCCCCGGAACGTTGGCGTGAACTGCCACTCGGTGAACCCAAGATGCCATCTGGTCAATGTGGTGCCGTGGGCGGTGCGGGGTGTGAGCTGCAGCAATTATGAACGGCTGCTTTTTGTCGTGGACCATGCCAGCACACACAGTAACACAACCCCGACACACAATGCGTGCAGACATAAAGTGCATACGCACACGTATGTGTACGCATATCATGCTCACAACGCACCCAAACGTATGTACACATGCACATGCACACACACACAACACACACACACACACACAAACACAACGCACGCAGCGCACAGGCACACACACACGCACACATACACCACATCCACCTCCACCAGCCACCGCTTCGTGTTCACGACTCACTTGCCGACAGCGCGCGTCGTGTAGCCAGCAGACTTCATGTATTGTGGCAAGAGCGTCTCGTTGCTGTTGAGAGCCATGGCAGCGCCGCCGCAAAACGGAAACTGCAGACCTGCCATTTCGTGCGGGAAAGCACACGCCCAAAAAAAAAAAAAAAACAGGGGAGGGGTTGTTGAGGAAGCCCAGACAGGTGGGTGTGGTGTCACGCCTATGGTGGGTGTGGTCTCAAGCAGGTGCCACGCTTGCTTGGTTGTGGCTGCCTGCGGCAAAACTGGGATCACATGTTCATCGTGAGCAGACGGCACTGACCGTAGCGGTGCGGGTATCGACCGGTCATGAGCGCCGCGCGCGTTGGACTGCACACCTGCGAAACAAGTGGTAGCATGAAGAAGAACGTGGGGTGTAGTGTTTGCATGCATGTGTTGCTGAGCGCGTTTCACGAAACCAACAGGCGAAGACGCGGTTCAGTTGACTAATGTAAAGTTAACAACAAAGACCACAACAGCTGAATTAACTCGCAGCACCACACGCACACACGCACACATACACACGCACACATACACACGCACATACACAAACACAGACACAAACTCAGACACATATACACAAACACACAACCTTTTGCACGTAGTGTTGGTTGAGGGCGATGCCTTCGGATCGGAGGGTGTCGATGGTCGGTGTCTTCACGCGCGTGCCAGCAAAGCCGCAGTCATTCCAACCATGATCGTCCACGACCACAAACAGAATGTGTGGGCGATGCGCTGACACCTGTTGCTGCATGTCTTTTCCCATCGTGTCGGATCGTGATCCTCGCTCAAGCGCCCATGCGCTGTCCAATGATCCCACCAAAACCGCCAACAGCACCGCCAAGGCGATGGCTGCAACCGTCGTCCAACAGCCACCTCCGCGGCGGCCAGCTCTCACACTCAACTCTCCCATCATCCCTTCTTCTTGACGGTGGATGGACTCTTTGCTTGCTGACTGTTGATGTGTGACAGCGATGTGACAGTGACCAACACACAAACAAAACGGAAATTGAGCCGTCGTTGTCCTTCTTGTCTCGTTGCCCTTGTTGTCTTCTTGCTGTGGCTTCCCCTGCTGCTGCGTAAACATGAAAGACATTCACAAAATTTCCCAAACCCACGTGTTTGCGAGAGAACAACCAAGGTGCGCGATCTGCAGATGGGTTGTGTGTGTGTCTGTGTGTGTATGTGTGAGTGAGTGTGTGTCTGTGTGTGTGTGTGTGTGTGTGTGTGTGTGTGTGTGTGTGTGTGTGTGTGTGTGTGTGTGTGTGTGTGTGTGTGTGGGCTGGTGTGTGTGCGTGTGCGTCTGTCTCTCTGTCTGTGTGTGTTTGCTTCCACTCGTCTTCCCTCCCATCTCCTCTTTATGCACACTCCTCACTCTCTCACTCACTCACACACACATTCACACTCACACTCACACACACGCACACACACTCATTCACACTCACACACACACTCTCTCTGTGCCCTTACGCTTTGCAAACAACCCTTGCCTCTCTATCCTCCTTAAATTAAAATAGATTCGCCTGCCTCCACCCCCACTGAGTGGTTTCCTTCCAATCCCCGCTCCCACCACCACCACCACCACCTCCAACTGCCACGATGCGCCCATTGACCGAGGACGAGACGACCGTCTTCTTTGAGAAGCTGGCCCGGTACATTGGGCCCAACATCCGCCTGCTGCTGGACCGACCAGACGGCCCGTACTGCTTCCGCCTGCACAAGGACAGGGTGTACTATGTGAGCGAGGCGATTATGCGCCTGGCCACCAACTGCGCACGCGACAACCTCATGGGCCTGGGCACGTGCTTTGGCCGCTTTAACCGCAGCCGCAAGTTCCGCATGCACGTGACCGCGCTGCCGTACCTCTCCGCCTATGCCGTGTACAAGGTGTGGGTCAAGCCCGCCGCAGAACAGTCGTTCCTGTACGGCAACCACGTGCTGAAGAACGGCCTCGCGCGCATGACAGAGAACACGCCCCAGTACCAGGGCGTGGTGGTGTACAACATGAATGACCTGCCGCTTGGGTTTGGCGCCACCGCAAAGAGCACACAGGAGTGCAGAACCATGGACCCCACAGGGATTGTCGTCTTTCGACAGGCCGATGTTGGCGAATACCTCCGTGACGAAGACATTCTCTCATAACCGTGCCATGTTCATGTGTTGTGTGTGTGTGTTGTGTGTGTGTGTGTGTGTGTGTGTGTGTGTGTGTTGTGTGTGTGATTGTTCGCCTGTGCGTGATTGCTTGTCTGCGTCTGTGCGTGATTGTTCATCCATGCATGACTGTTCGTCTGTGCGTGTGTGCGAGTGTCCGTGCGCATGCACATGTGTACTTGCGTACGCTGCTTGTTCGTTTGTGCGTGTGTGCGAGGCAGTCGCTAGCGCAAAGGTCTTCGATTGTGATGTGCGTCCGTTTCTCGTGTTGGAGCATCCCTCCCCCTCCCCTCCTCAACTGGGCTGCTGTTGCATCTCGCATACGCCCGCTCCCCAACGCCCCCCCCCACCACCACACACCGGCACGCACGCTCAATGGCACAATGTCTTTCCTCCTCCTCCTCCTCCTCCTCCTCCTCCTCCTCCTCCTCCTCCTCCTCCTCCTCCTCCTCCTCCTCCTCCTCCTCCTCCTCCTCCTCCTCCTCCTTCTTCTCGATTATCGATTCACGTTCGCTCTTTGTGATGTCGCCCTTGCTTGTTAACGCGACCAGCGAGCTACCACAAACATGCATATGACGTTGCTCTGCTTTCGTGCTTCCATCGCTGTGTACTGTACTTGCTTCGTCTTGGTCTTGGTCTTGTTCGCCTTTTGCGTGGTTTGCGGTGTTTCTGTTGCGTTGGAAGCGGGGCGTCTCCACCTCTTGTTGTAGTTGATGTTGTACATATGTATGTGCGCCCCCATATAAAACCACCTCCTTTTACAACAGTTGCTGATGAGTTGCGGGAGCCACGTTTTACTCCGCCGCACATGGCTTGACGCCTGGCACAACAACAGCAACAAGGCAGGGGAAATGACACCAACAAGAGAGCAAACACGAATAGCAACAGAGAGCACACACAAAGCACGCGCACACACACGCACACAGAAAGCACACACAAAGCACACACACACAACACATCACATCACACCACACACACACACACACACAAAACACATCACATCACACCACACAAAACACACGCAGCACAACACAACCCAGCCGGCGCTGGCCAAAGTCGTGGGCTAGAGAAACTCTGCTGGGAGGAACGACTGCTGCTGCTCCTGGAAGCCAAAGATCTGATCAATGACAGCAAGTTCTGTGCTCGTTGTGTCCATGCCGCACACGGCAACCCAGTCGTTGACCACCATCCCCGCGCCAATCACATCGCTGCCGCGGTTCACAGTGCCGGCCTGCACAGCACAGTAGACGTTGCATGGGATGTGAAGGGGTGGATAGTACATGAGTGTGAGGGGAGTGAATAGTTGTGTAGGTTGAAGGAAAGGTGCTGGTGTGTGTGTGTGTGTGTGTGCGCGCGTGTGCGTGTGTGTGTGTAAACGGGACATGGGTTGTGGTAATCCAACTACAAGAGCCGCAAACCCAAGCAAACAAACAAACAAACACACAAACAAAACAATCAAACGAACATTCAAGCAATCGATCAAACACACGCACCACGAGTGGGATTTGGAGAAGGGATGAGAGCTCGTCCTGGTCTGTGACGCTCGTGCCAGGGTGGATCTAACGCGTACACAGCGGTTGTGCACACACACACACACACACACACACACACACACACATACACACGCACGCACGCGCAAGGAGGCCGCAACGGTGGCGTACATACAACGACATGTGAGAACACGAAGGGGGTGCACACATAAGGGGCCATGCGTTCTGGTCGCATACTTTGTCGACACAAAACGCACGTGCACGTGCAATTGCAAACCACTCAAGCACACACACGCACGCATGCACGCACACACACACGCACGCATGCACGCACACACACACAACCAAATACACACACATGCCGCAAACAAACGTACCAGGCCACCGCGGTTGCTGAGGGCGCAGTAGGAGCCAACAAGGACGTTGTCTGCGATGGTTTGCCTGAACACCTCCACGTTGAGTGTGTCCATGATAATCTCCTCCGTCTCTCTGTCCAGATCAGGGTGCACGAGGGCCACGTAGTCGTTGCACGCAATGACGTTGCCCAGTGCAGATAACCGCTCCTCCACGCGCACCACCTTCACTGCATCTGGCAGCGCATTGCGGATGTGCTGCAGCTCTTGGTCTGTGGTTGAGTTGGGCACGATAAGCCCGTGGCGGTTTCCTGTGCACGCGTTCACAGAGTTGGCAACCAAGAAGCATAGAACAAGGCGTGGAGATAAGCAGCCAGTGAGCAGCGGGCACAAAACGGACCATATATCGCGCAGACGACCAAACAAACACCACGACAACAATCAATGCACAGGACTGTTTGAGGGTTTTGTGCACAATGCAGGTTGTGCGGGCTAGATTGACATTGACATTTCTCTTGTAGGGGCGGGAGGGGGGTTGCCCGTACCTGCTGTGAGACGGCCGATGATGCTTGTTCCGGCGATGCTGCAGTGGACCACGGGAATGACCTCACCGACTTCACTCTCAAATACACTGCATGTCGATGATTGGCACAAACGCATGAGCACACGTGAGCATGATGATGGAAAGGGACTTGGAACAACACCACACTGTGTCTATGTGTGTGTGTGTGCGTGCGTGCATGTGTGTGTGTGTGCGTGCGTGCATGTGTGTGTGTGCGTGTGTGCGTCTGTGTGGATTTCTGTCTGTGTGGATTTCTGTGCGTGTGTTGTGTGCGTGTGTGTGGATTTCTGTGCGTGTGTGTATGTGCGTGTGTGTGTATGTGCGTGTGTGTATGTGTGTGTGTGTGTATGTGCGTGTGTATGTGTGTGTGTGTGTGTGACGCCCTCCCCCTCCATCTCTCTCTGTCTCTCTCGGAGAGGGTCACCTGTCGCACACATTGCCCAACGCAAACCAAACGACGACAACACACGCGCGTCAATCACATCAAACGCAGCCGTCACCTTGCCGCAGCAAACCCTCATCACGACACACCACGGCACATCACATCACAAACACACCTGTGAAAGTTCTCTGATGCGCCAAGCGCGGTGAGGCAATAGCTGTTGGTAAGGGTGGCAAAGACGCCAACGTCGTTGCTTCCTTCGTACTGGGCGCGGACGGCCATGGCTAGCAAGTATGCGCAAACTACAGGAGAAGAAGCGAAAAGTACACCTAGAGGCAAGGGAAAACGCGCACGCACACAGACGAGCGGAGTGAACGGGTGTGGGATCTCAAGGAGAATGGAAGAGATCAAGGGTGAGGAAGAAAGAACGGTGAGAGCTGATGAACTGGTGAAATAAAACAAAAAGATCAACTCCTGTCTGTGTGTGTGTGTGCTCTTTCGCTACGTGTTTTTCTATGACTTGTGATCTACGAATCACTCTCAAGCTACACTCGTGAAATGAGGTGCAACTGTGGCTCAACAAGCACGCGCTCAGGAAAAGGGGTTCGCTCTGTTACAGTCAAGCATCAACTTACAAGCTCGGGGGGTTGATCGCTGGCTGTGGATTGGCTGGCTGTGGATTGTGCGTCGTCTTGCTCGTTCTGTTGCTTCTGCTGAATGTTACGCGCTCACGTGTTAACACTGCTGGCGATTCACGAATGCCAACCATCAATTTTCGTGCCATCAAATAAACCCAAGCTCAAGGTTGGCTTATGCGCATTTGCCACCTGCCAAGAAGGACACAAAACCCCTCGGCCTTCAAGCCTCCTCCCTTTGCGTGGAATGTTCCAGTGCTTGTTCCTTGTCCGTTCACACACCGTCTCAAGAACTTCATGACTCGGTGACTTGCTTCCCATCTCGTGGCTCCTTCCCTCCTTGTTACAACACAAGTCACGCACACACCCACGAGTACACGCAAGTTGCACTGACACGCTCGCTGAGCAAAAACAATTGTTCGTGTGTTGTGTTGTGGTGACATGACGTGATCAGAACAACACGCACGTGTCGTCCAGCGTCTGCGATGACTAGAAGGCATTCACGTACATCCTGGCTTCCTTTTTTCACTCATTGCGTTGGTGTGTTGGCCCTGAAGAACGAACATAAAAAATGAACAAGGAAAGACAAAGACAAAGAGAGAGACAGAGACAGAGAGAGAGACAGAGAGAGAGAGACAGAGAGACGTGCACGCACACACACACACACACACAGTGTCTGTCTGTTTCCCTCCCCGCCCTCACACACACTCACGCACACACTCCAAGCTCGGTCAAGGTACACCTTTTATATTGCACACATGGCACAACTGTGCGGTTGACAAACGACGATGAAACGAGCGCCCGCTCACAACGTACCATGTCATGAAACGCACAAGCATCAGCAAGAATGTCAAAGGAGTGGAATGGCGCATGCTGCTGTTCGCAACACGAACCTACAAAGACAAGCACCCACACGACCTCACTTTCTCCCGCGCAACCGCACACCGCGCAATCGCACACCGCACACCCTCACTCAATCACACACACGCGCGCTCTCTCCCTCGTTCTCTCCTCTTCTGATCGATCCACAGCACGCCAGAAGGGTTGGTAAGTCTAGCCTATTCCATGGGCACCTGTGTCACCGGCATGGTGAAGGAAGCAGCATCGGCAAGAGGTGGTCTTGTTGTTGTTCTTGTTGTTCTTGTTGCCAGAGCAGCTGCCGTTGTTGCTGCTACCGCTGTAGTTGCTCGGCCTGTTGCTGTTGCTGTTGCTGTTGTTGCTGTCGCTGAGGTTGGGAGTTGAGGGAAGCCCATACCTCTGGGCAGACCAGGCATCCCGGTTGGGAGGGCGGCGTAGGATGTCGTGTTGGGGAAGCGAGACACTGCAGCTGTCGTCAGGCCCATTGCAGAACGGCGTTCCATCAGCCCCTTGGTTTGCTGCATCTGCAGCGCAAGCTGCTGCTGCGGTGTCAAGGCCGGCAGCGTGGCGCCGCCAAACATCATGGCTCCAGGCAACCATCCGCGCCCGTACACATAATGCGGTTGCTGTTGTTGTTGTTGTTGTTGTTGTTGTTGTTGTTGTTGTTGTTGTTGTTGTTGTTGTTGTTGTTGTTGTTGTTGTTGTTGTTGTTGTTGCGGCTGTGTCTTGGCGTTCAAGCAGTTGCCACTTTCATCCCCACCACTCTGTACATGCTGCTGAGTTTGCGAGGCTTGCAGCAGCTGCTGTTGTCGCACATGGCTAAATAGGGCCTGATTGTACAAAGGGCTGTGCGTGTGTTGAGGCCATGTCAGAAGAGGAGCAGCCAAAGCCATGCCACCCTGGTCTTGATGCTGCTGTTGCTGCTGTTGTTGAATCCAAAGAAGTTGCTGCAGGACATGCTGGCGAAGGAGCAGCTGCTTGTGCAGAAATTCGCGCTGCTGTGCCTGTAGCAAGGTGGTGGCCGCAGACTCCGATGCACTCGACGCACCCGTCTTCGTGTCTGCGTGGTGATGGTCCTTGGTGTTCGCTGCTGGTGTGCTGCCTGCAGCTGTTGTGTCTGTGTTGATGGTGTGCGGACCCTCGACTGCAGGCGACGGGCGCTGCCGACGGCGGTGGGCGGGACCACCGGCATTTCCTGCGCCGGCCCGCGCTGGTCTGCGAGATGCCTGAGATGCAGCTGCCTTGGTTTTTCCCAACGTCTTCTTTCTCGTCTGGCGCATGCGTTGCGGGCTCCTCGATACAGTGGACGAACAGGCAGGGGAAGTGGGGACGGCCTGGCCTATGGTTGACGATCCGGACGCGCTCATTGGCGACAGCGACCGCTGCTGCTGAGTAATCTGCTCAGCGTCCGTGGCGCTGCTGGCGCTGCTGGCACTGCTGCTGATGGGGGATTTGGGTACTTGAACAACAGAAGCGTTGGACAGCTCTTGTGCGTTCCTGATACAGCTTGTTGCACCGCTTGCTGCATGCACAGCGGCCACTGCCAGCTGTTTCCTCTCTTGTGGGCGTTGTCCAGACCGCCGTTGCTGCCGTTGCTGCTGCTGCTGTTGTTGTGAAAGCTTCGCAAGCCTCGCGGTTAGCCAAGCTCGCCTCGTGGATGCCGGGCTGTACTCCTGAAGCACCTTTTCCAGCAGCGATGCCCGTTTCATGCTCAGCTTCTTCGTCTCGGATTGCAGGCGTGCCAGCCGCAGTGCGAGCAGGTGGGACGCAGACTCAAGCTGTTGCAGACGTTCCTTGGCCATTCGTCGGTGTTTTCTGGCTGCAAGGCGGTTGATGCGGCGCGCGTGCTCTGCGGATGTTGGTGACATTTGTCGCACACTGCGTCGCTTGCCCTGGTGCAGCTGCGTGCCAAAGTCAGCGTCCTCTTCGTCTCCTGGCACCAACAATACAGACCGTTGTTGTTGTTGTTGTTGTTGTTGTTGTTGTTGTTGTTGTTGTTGTTGTTGTTGTTGTTGTTGTTGTTGTTGTTGTTGTTGTTGTTGTTGTTGCTGTTGCATATTCCAGTTGCCGTTTTTGTCGCTCACATCGTCGTCATCGTAGTGGTCGTCGTTGTCACTTCTGCTGCTGGTCCGACTCCTGCGTCCGCTGTCGGTGCCAGCGCCGGTGGTGGCCTCGGCGCCCCCTGCACGCTGTCCAGCGTCGTCGTTGAGGAGGTGGAGCTTGGACTTGCCACCTTCAGCGTCCTCATCTCCGAGTAGGTCGACGGCCCTCACGAGCAAGTCCATTCCGTACGCCCTCGTCACACAGCGAAAATAGGTACAAAAGGATGTTGGGGAAAATGATGATTGCAGAGCGAGAGAGACACACGAGTTGCATGCAAGCTTCGTGACGCTGGCGGGTGAATAAAGGCAGAGCTTCCTGAAACGCAGCGTCACAACCCACGCAAGAATGTTGCAATCAGTGAGCACGAAGGGTGTGACATGACATGACATTCTGGATGACGATGACGTATGAAGACACATGACGTGTTTGTCGTGAATTAAAAGCTGGTTTTGTCCTGGTCGTTGTTTCTTCTGATCGCCAACCAAACCAACCAAACCAACCAAACCGCGATGAACGCGTCCTCGCTGTGGTGTCGGCTGTTGCCGTCCTTGTCGAGTGTTGTGCAGCAAGCACAGCAGTGTGTCGGCCGCAGTGGCGCTGCTGGCAGTCGCCTAGCACCACTGGTGGTGTCAACTTCGAGGCTCAGCAGCTCCAGTAGTGGTGAGTGCTTTCGCACAGAGTAAGCTGCGACATGCGTGAATGTCGTTGGTGGATGTGTGTGTGTGTGTGTGTGTGTGCCGTTGTTGTTGCGGCAATCATTCCTTCCAGCACACCAAGCACAACACCCACATCACCCCGTTTCAAGCGCTTGGGTTGAACATCTTTCGCGTCCAGCACTGCATGTGCGCACCTTGTGTAGCTGTGAGTAGTGATGTGTCGTGTCGGCACCACCCAACACAGTGGCACTCGCCAAATCAAACAAACACACGGTCCCAACGACGCACGTGTCATCATCATCATCATCATCATCATCATCATCATCATCATCATCATCATCATCATCATCATCATCATCATCATCATCATCATCATCATCATCATCATCATCATCATCATCATCATCATCATCATCATCATCATCATCATCATCATCATCATCATCATCATCATCATCATCATCACCGCCACCACAGCAGCGTCACAACAAGTGCAAACGCACCGCTTCATTCCTTGCCACCCTAACAACACTGCTGACGTGCCCTTGCATTGCCTGCCACTGTACCATTGCAGAACCCAAGAACAACAATGGCGACGTCCTGACACTGGCGCACAGCGTCGTGCAGCCATCCAGTGGCAGTGCCTGGGCCACGAAGCAAACCGAGCCTGTCTCCAAAGACGCATCCTCCTCCGCGCCCATCGTGTTTCTGCACGGGCTGTTTGGATCGCAGCTCAACTTCCGCACGATTGGCCGCATGGTCGCCGACCACACTCACCGGCCCGTCGTTCTGCTGGACCTGCGCAACCACGGCCGCAGCCCGCACGCGCCCACCATGTCGTACGAGCAGATGGCTGGCGACGTGGCGCACACGCTGCGCGAGGGCCTCGGCGTCTCCCGCGCATCCCTCGTTGGGCACTCCATGGGCGGCAAGACGGCGATGATGACGGCGCTG